GAGCCCAGAGAGATTGATTTGAAGTGGAAGCAGAGGCTAAATTAAGTGTAATATGATCTAACTAAAGATTTCTATACTGGTTAATGCGGAGAGTTTCTCTATTTTTCCAATTCAAGAGGATAGTTTTCTTAGTGATGCATATGGCAGTCAGAACCACGTGAACCAAAGATCTGTCAATTGGGACATCGTCCAGGTTTCCCAGTAAACAAAGAGAGGGGGTGGTTGGGATATGACATTTCAGAGACTTTGACAGGTCTTCACATACTCTACCCCAAAATTCCTGGACAGGTGGACAGGACCACAGTGCATGAATATAATTGTCAGGAATGTTGTTCGTGCAGTGTGTACAGGTGTCAGACGACACAAATCCCATCTTGAACATCCGATGACCTGTATAGTGTACTCTGTGTAGAATTTTGTACTCAATTAATTGTAAATTGGAGTGTCTGATCATTTTAAAAGTTTTTAAACAAGTTTGGGACCAGAAGTTCTGGTCAAAGCTGACTGATAGATCCACCTCCCATTTTTCAATAGGGATTGCTATTCTATCGTCTATTTTGGACAGTGTCTTATGTATTTTAGACAGTAGTTTGGGGGGGGGTTGAGATTATAGAAGTCTAATACCCTTGGTGGTGTTTGAAATTCTATTTATTGAGCTTTAATTTTTGTTTCACTACAGATTTAATTTGGTGGTATTCTTAAAAGCTATTCTTATCTATTCCAAATTGGGAGACTATTCTATTAAATGGGATGAAGTCCAATCCATCATATATTGGGGCGACGGTGGCACAGGAGTTAAGTGCTCGCCCCCGCAATCGGAAGGTTGCAGGTTCGAGCCCCGCTCAGTCTGTCGTTGTCGTTGTGTCCTTGGGCAAGACACTTAAACCACGTTGCCTGCTGGTGGAGGTCGGAGGGACCGGTGGCGCCAGTGCTCAGCAGCCTCGCCTCTGTCAGTGCACCCCAGGGCAGCTGTGGCTACATTGTAGCTCATCCCCACCAGTGTGTGAATGAGTGAATGACTGATTGTGTTGTAAAGCGCCTTGGGGGGTTCCAGGACTCTAGCAGGCGCTATATCAAATACAGGTCATTTACCATTTACCATATATGTGTTCCAGGTATGGGATTCCTTTATTTTTCCAGTCAAGAAGGTTCATCATTTTATTATTTTGCAAAATATCAGGATTATTCCAGATAGGTGTGCGTCTGCATGGTACTAGTGAAGACTGTCATTTTAAGATGTTCCCACCATGCTGTCAGAGAGGTGCTGATACAAATACTTTTGAAGCCTTCGTGTTTTCTTATGCTTGAGCTAATAAATAGTAAGTCTGAAAGCTCTATCGTATTGCAAAGTGTCTGTTCTATGTCTAACCAAGACTCATCTAGTGGGTTATCTTGCAACCAACTTGGTATATATTGCAGCCTGTTGGCTAAGAAATAATAATAAAAGTTGGGTAGATCCAGTCTTTGGTCTTCTGAAGCGTTTTTAAGCTAATTCGTGGAGGTTTATCCTGCCAAAGGAATTTGGTAATTGAGGAGTCCAGAGACCTAAACCAGTCAGCTGGTGGTTTGTTTGGGATCATTGAAAATAAGTAATTTATTCTGGGTAAGACCATCATTTTAATTGTTGCAACTCTCCCCATGAGTGATATCGGTAAGGCTTTCCATCTTGCAAGATCATCTTCCACTTTCTTTAAAAGTGGGATGTAGTTTATTTTGGTCGGATCTGCTAACTTGGGAGGGACATTAATTCCCAGGTATGTGATATTCCCTGACTCCAATTGTGTATTAAGTAAATTGACAAAAGAGAAATTAATTGGTAGAACTGTGGATTTTAACCAGTTTATAGAGTAATCTGAAACTTTTGAAAAAGAGTTTATCAGTTCTATTGAATGAGAGAAAGATGATTGAGAATTCAGGAGAAAGAGTAAAACATCATCTGCATAAAGACTGATCTTATGTTCTATGTTCTTACACTTTAACCCTTTAATACCTGTTGTTTGCCTAATTGCTGCTGCTAGTGGTTCAATAAAGATAGCAAACAGTCAGGGGGAGAGTGGGCATCCCTGCCTGGTCCCCCTCTGAAGACAGAAGCTAGCTGATATTTGGTCGTTCGTCCTGACACGTGCAGTTGGTGAACTGTATAATTGTAGCATGTTTATGAAGAAGTTCCCAAACCCAAATTTATGTAAAGTTGCTAATAAGAGCATACAGTTAACTCTATCAAAAGCCTTTTCTGCATCTAGAGATAATATACTAGTTTCTATGTTTCTACTGTAAGAGAAATCTATCAAATTAAGTAATCTACGTGAATTAGTGGATGACTGTCTACACTTGATGAAACCAGTTTGGTCAGGGTGTATTATGAAGGGGGTTACCTTCTCTAATCTTTTTGCCAGGGCTTTACAAATTATTTTGAGATCAACATTAATAAGGGAAATTGGGTGATAGCTGGTAGGAAATGCAGGGTCTTTGCCTGGTTTTAACAAGAGACTAATATTGGCTGAATTCATGTTTGGCTGTAATCTGCCGCTCTCTTCGATATCCCTCACCATTCTGAAAAATATTGGAGCCAGAATGATCCAGAATTCTTTGTAGAACTCTGCTGGAAACCCGTCTGGACCTGGAGCTTTCCTATTAGTCATGGATTTAAGGGCTTCTTGGAGCTCTGCTGATGTTAGTGGTGAGTCCAGGACTGTAGCTTGGCTGTCTGATAATTTAGGAAGTGTTATCCTATCAAGGAACTCATTGATCTCGTTATCTGATGGTTTTATCTGTGGTGAGTACAAAGTTTGGTAAAAGTCTCTGAAAGTGTTGTTTATGCTTTCAGGGTCATAAACTATATTCCCGGTTGAGTCTTTAACAGCAGATATGGTAGTATTCTCTTTATTAATTTTTAACTGGCTAGCCAAAAATTTACCTGTTTTATAACTATGTTCAAAGTTTTCTATTCGTAGTCTTTGTGCTAAAAATTGTGTCTTTTTGTCAATAATTCCATGAAGTTCTAATTTAGCTTTACGTAATTTGCTCATTAACTCTTCTTCTGTGGATGCCTCTAAAGACTTTATGATTTCCTCTAACTCCTGAATACGTTTGTTTTCCGTTTTTTTCTTATGTGATGAGAAAGAGATTATTTTACCTCTCATCACTGCCTTTCCTGCCTCCCAGAGAACAGATGCTGATGTTCCAGGCAGGTCATTATGTTCTAAATATAAAGCCCACTCCTTTTTAAAAAATTCTATAAAACCTTCATCTTTAAGCAGTGATGTATTAAACCTCCAGTTTTTGCTGAGTGGGATTGTCTTCTTGTTTACCAGAGTTAAAGAAACCGGAGCATGGTCACTGACAACTACAGGGTGTATCTCAGTGTCTGAAATGTCAGCCAACAATGAGCTGCTGACTAGAAAATAATCCAAACGTGAATGAGAGTGATGGACGTGTGAGAAAAAAGTATACTCTCTACGGTTAGGATGAAGAGATCGCCATGCATCACAAAGCCCATAATCACTCATGTACTGTTTAACTATGTTAGTGGATTGCCAATTGCGCTGAGTCCCAGCTGTACTGAGCCTGTCTGTTAAGGAGTTCATCCAAAAATTAAAATCACCTCCAAGTATAAGTGGACAGTCCAAGTGTTCGGAGAGTACAGAGAAAAAATTATGAAAGAATGAAGGGTCATCAATATTTGGACAGTATATGCTGACAATACATAAGCTTTGATTCTGTACAGATATTTTTAACAATATAAATCTACCCTCTGGATCGGAGACTGTGTCCAATACTGTGAAATTGATGTTTTTGTGTATTAAAATAGCTACACCTCTTTGCCTAGAGTTATAGCAGGCAGAGAACATGCTGGGAAACTCAGGTGTTTTAAGTTCATCTGTGGATGTGGCAGATCTTTGAGTCTCTTGTAATAATATTACGTCTGCTTGCACTCTCTTTAACTGATCAAAAATCTTTAATCTCTTCTCTCTAGAGCCAGCTCCATGTGCGTTCCATGAGACAAACCTTAGTGCACCCATAGATGTGTGTGTGAGTGGCTAAAATATGACGCCTTCATGTGAATAAGATGGACTAAGTATCTAAATGTATAAAATATTATGTTAATAAATAACAGAAAAGTAAATAATAATAATAAAGATCCAACAGTGTTTGTGGTTGTATTATTTGATGCATTAATTATGATATTGTGCTGTGGATTTAATATATATATTTGTGTGTGTGTGTGTGTGTGTGTGTGTGTGTGTGTGTGTGTGTGTGTGTGTGTGTGTGTGTGTGTGCGTGTGCGTGTGCGTGTGTGTGTGTGCGTGTCGAGTCTGACGCAGTGTTGGAAAGTTGTGTGGTTGTGCCATACAGGTGTAAAGGTACAGAAGCAGGTAAAGAAGAAAGGAAAATACAGATACAGGTTAAAAAAGAAAGAACTAAAAAGAAAAGGTGATGGGGGTGTGAGGTGGTGATGAACAGGTGATCTCATCATCTAGGAAACGGATTTAGCAGGAGTGGGGGTGGAAGGGGATGGGGCCTGGCTCAGGTATTTCTAAAGAGATTTCTGTGGAAAGGTTATAAGCAGTAACATCTAACTTTTAGCTAGCTCTATGAGCAACCTCATTCTGCAGAAAGAGAGAGGCAAATAGGTTAAAGACTAGAAACAATGAGGACAGTTGCAGCGTAGATCACTGCCATTACTGGCAGATTACTGGCCAACAGTGCCTGCTACGTGCTAAAACAACAGGGCTATATTTAGCTAACCCTGCTGATAATGTCTGTTGCAATTTGCCAGCTAGCCCTGAGATGTTTTACATTAACATTTTTAATAGATGCCCACAGTTCCTTTTTAAATTACTTCTCGAAAAGAACTGATTCCCTGGTCAGGACTAGTCTCAAAGACAACAAGAACATATCCTCTTTCCTTGCTTTTATGAGTCGAATTATGTTCAAAAATAAAAATACGCTCCAGCTGTTCTCTTCCAAACCATTTCATGAGAATGTCCTCCCTTTAGGAGTACACCATTGATGTCTTCTTCCGTCAGAGTTGGAGGGATGAAAGGCTTAAGTTTGATGGGCCGATGCAGGTTCTACCTCTCAACAACCTCCTGGCCAGTAAGATCTGGACCCCTGACACCTTCTTCCACAACGGGAAGAAGTCTGTGGCCCACAACATGACAACCCCTAACAAACTGCTGCGACTAGTGGACAACGGCACTCTGCTCTACACAATGAGGTGAGACCCTTTGGTTCATGCCATGTTACGTTAGTGTCTTTCTTCCTTGTTTTCTGTCATCCTGATATTTTGACACATAGTACTGCAGCCAAGAAATTAAGCAAGCCAAACTTGTATCACAGCCTGTCCTAAAGGTTTATTACCACCTCTTTTAGGGCCGTGACCATTTTGTAACTCTCGTTACTGTTCATTTGAAGTCACATTTGTGCAGCGACAACCATCTGATCCCACCCATGTTGAGAGGGTTCTGTCACTGGTGGAAATGAAGCAGAAAAGACCCAAGCTGAGCAGAACCACACCAGAAACAATTAACTGATATCATCTGATCTGAACGCTGAATCTCTGAGTTCTTCCTTGAAGCTGTCTAGAAGAAACACTTTTTTTAAGACTCAACCAAAGGCTTAGTGTTACTTTGAAGGGGAAAAAATTAAAACGGGAAACAATTTCTCTTTTCTCGTCTCACATGAGTAGTCTGTGTGGTTGTAGTTTTGCCAACAAGCACACGTGTGCTCGGATTACAGCGTTACAAGCACTGCCATGTTTTCCTACCCGAGTACATGTGTGCACAGATAACAAATAGGCTGTGTTAATAGGGGGAGTATGATAATCCTCTGAGAGACAAAGCCAAAAAGCCTTTTTTGGACCCAACTTAGTGATTTAGTTTGGAGCTAAAGTAGATTTCATTGAGTTTTAAGCTCTTTAACGAAGCTCCATTAATGACATCATATCTTTTGTTCTGCATCTCTATGTAGGTCCATTATGGTTAATTCATTATGGGCTTGAAAATTACTAATCATCTCCTGAATGACTAGCAATACAATATAATATTTCTAAATCTATTATGTATTATTAATTTAAATTATCTGCATAAATTATCTTTCCATAGACCTTTTATGACCCTTTAATAGACCCCATGACAGATTATTGAAATACAACTATTTTTAAACATTATTTATTTGGTCATTGATTTATACATTTACACATCACAGTCATTTTCTGCTAAGTGTGGTCAATATTGTTGTTATGAGCTACATTTGAAAAAAATATTAATTTCTTTACTTTCATAAGGCTAAATCTTTGCATGTTAGTGATTTACTTGGCAATCAGATGGACCCGAACTACCCCACAACTGATTTTATGTGATTGTGGCTGAAAGTTTAAATCGCAGAGAGTGTTGTATGCAACGTGATGATGGAGATGTAGCAGATCAAAGGTCACGTTTTCATCAGCATGAACAGAAATTAACTTTTAATTTGCAGCCATAAACTGCATCACACATCCAGGCAAGCATTACAGCTGCCTGGTCTCTAAACCAGAAACCAGAGAGCTCTGCACCAGACCTTGTTACCAGTCAAAGAAGCCATAACGTCTTCAGCCTAGGTCTCATGCAGAAGCAAGACTCCTGCATTTTTCACTCTGAATAAAGTTCATCCTCCTGGCTGGCTCGCCATTAAATGTAGCGTTAAGGATTGGCTACATATGTAATAAATGATCAACAAGATGTGATAATTCCATATAAACATGAAATATCAATCTGATTGATCTTTGAATGTTTAATCAGAAGATTATAGTCTCTTTTACTCATCAGGGACCAAATACACACTTACTTAAGAAAAACATGAGTTTGTTGTTGCACTATCCAACAAAAATTAAACAACTGAATATCTTTGGGGTTCCAGGCCCTCTGATATGGGCTGTTAGGTCCCTGTATGACTGGTGTCAGAGCTTGGTCCGCATTGCCGGCAGTAAGTCGGCCTTGTTCCCAGTGAGAGTTGGACTCTGCCAAGGTTGCCCTTTGTCACCGATTCTGTTCATAACCTTTATGGACAGGATTTCTAGGCACAGCGAAGGTATGAAGGGAATCCGTTTTGGTGGTCTGAGGATCAGGTCTCTGCTTTTTGCAGATGATGTGGTCCTGTTGGCTTCATCAGAACGTGATCTTCAGCTTTTGCTGGAGCGGTTCGCAGCCGAGTGTGAAGCAGCTGGGATGAGAATCAGCTCCTCTAAATCTGAGACCATGGTCTTGATTCGGAAAAGGATAGAATGCCTTCTCCGGGTCAGGGATGAGGTCCTGCCCCAAGTGGAGGAGTTCAAGTATCTCGGGGTCTTGTTCATGAGTGAGGGAAAACTGGAGCGTGAGATCGATAGGCAGATTGGTGCTGCAACTGCAGTGATGCGGGCGTTGTACCGGTCTGTCGTGGTGAAAAAAGAGCTGAGGCAGAAGGCGAAGCTCTCGATTTACCGGTCGATCTACGTTCCTGCCCTCACCTATGGTCACGAGCTTTGGGTAGTGACCGAGAGAACAAGATTGTGGATACAAGCGGCTGAAATGGGTTTTCTCCGCAGAGTGGCTGGCCTTTCCCTTAGAGATAGGGTGAGAAGCTCGGTCATCCGGGAGGGGCTGGGAGTAGACCCGCTGCTCCTCCAAAACGAGAGGAGCCATTTGAGGTGGCTCGGGCATCTGGTCAGGATGCCTCCTGGATGCCTCCCTGGTGAGGTTTTCTGGGCACATTCAACTGGGAGGAGGCATAAAGGTAGACTCAGGACACGGTGGAGGGACTATGTCTCTCACCTGGCCAGGGAACGCCTTGGATTCGCCCGGAGGAGCTAGCCCAAGTGGCTGGGGAGAGGAAAGTCTGGGCCTCTCGACTTAAGGCTACTGCCCCCGCGATCCGACTCCAGATAAGTGGATGAAAATGGATGGAAGGATATCTTTGCAGCTTTATTCTGTAGTCAGACATCCGTAAGAGCTTGGTCTAAGCACATAATGTGTGTTTAAACACCACAGTAAGCCTGCAGATGTATTTTGTAAAAATCGTCTAAATCCTCAGTTTTCCGTGACTGCATGTAAAAACTCCGCTCCTTCCCCTCCGATTGTCACAGCAGCTGTGTTCAAATGCTCAGAAGTCTTCACCCAACATTCATGACCCAACATGAACAGAGAACTAAGTGGCAGGAAAAAGGCCTCATTTCCGGACAAATTCACAGCAGCGACATTTTAAAGCACACGAGAGAACATCCACAACCCCCGCACAGCCCATTTCCTCTGTTAATGGGTGCGCTGATCGAACTTTGTACATGAAACACTGCTGAATGACAGTTAGACAGAGAGGTAGAGAAAAAAGAATAGACGCAGGGATAATGTTAAGGCATTTTAACACAAATTTATTTCGTAACAGTTGCATCTTGGTGCTGATCTCTGATTCAGTGAATAGTTAAACTTAAAATATTTGTCTTAATTTTCCATGCAAGGCTTGTTCAATAATGCTGCACTCTCATTTTCACGCCCATGGCACATATTTAAGATTAGTTATTTTCATTTGTGAAGTTTGGATTTAAAGCAAGGTGTAGCTAAAGTTGAAGGAAATAAAAGAAATCACTAACAGACTAAAACCTATGCTGGACATCTGTCTCAGTAAGAATTATGAGCTAAAGCCACAGAGGCTCTCCACATAGCAGATCCAGAGTAAACCCTGTGTGTAACACTTCAGAGGAGAGGCTGTTGATGTATTTTTTTCTGCTCACTGCACAGGTACAGTATTAGGATTCAGAATGCAAATCCATCTTCATGAAGTTCAGCAACACTTTGTTTTGATTAGCACTCTTCACCAGACAACCATTTAAAACCAGTTAATCAGCCTGTCTGCAGCAGCTGAACTGATAAACGCCGAGAGGGCCTCAGCTCCGCTGGGTTGCATCTAGGGCTGGGCGATATGGCCTCAAATCTATATTGCGATATAATCGGAAGCATGTGTGGTAATGATATATATTGCGATATATTTCTTCCTCTGTTTATATATTTCAAAATGACGTGCTTTTAAATATCCTCATTTGGCAAATATATGCCACTTGAGGCATATAGGCCTCCTCCACCGCCCACTCCATGCTTGCAGTCACTGCCATTCTGTTGCCCCAATGTCAGCAGGGTGCACATCTTAGTGACGTCATGTGTCATCACGGTATTGCAATATAGCAAAAAACTCTTATCATTACCCAATTTTATATTGTTTCTACCTTATATTGTTTATATTGCCCACCCCTAGTTGCATCCTTTTTTTACTGGGAGGATAGATCTGCTATTGTCTGCCAGCTCTTCTGCAGTCTCACTTTTGTCAAAGCATTTGTCACTCTGTCAGTTTACTTCAGTTTTAGACTCACTCTGATTTCTGCAACACTGAAACAGTTAGCACAAAGGTGCTAATAAGCACTTAAAGAACAAGTTCACTGACAAAGCATTTTTTACTTGTTCTTTTTGAAATCCAATCGATCACTCTGAGTTTGAATGTGAAAATAGTCTTCTACCCCTAATTCTTGCATCAGCCACCGATAGAAAATGGATGGAGAGAAGCACGGGTCGGAAAAGCAAAGCAGATCTATGTCACACTGCAAATTAGCATTCATGGACTTAGCCATTGTGGCTTACGACGGGAAAGACCGCTAGCAGCACGCATCAAATTCAAATTGCTAACGCTAGCATACAAAATCCGAGATGGTGCGGCTCCCATCTTCCTGAATCCTCTTGCAAAGGCTTACGTCTCAAATCAAATCAAATCACTTTTATTGTCACATCACATGTGCAGGTACACTGGTACAGTACATGCGAGTGAAATTCTTGTGTGCGAGTTTCACAGCAACAGTTGTGCAAAATACAATAACGTAAAAACAAGCAAAATATAAAAATGGCTAATCTAAGTAATAATATTTATAGTATGCAAGGTATATACATTCCTAAATGTGTGTGCTAAGTATTTTATTTTTTATTTTTCTACATCTCGGCCCGGCCGCTCCGGTCATCACAGGATCGTCAGCTAGCAGTGCCTACACCACGCTCAGGACAATCCAGACTTTTCTCATGCATAGTTCCACAAATGTGGAATGACCTACCAAGCACTACCAGAACTGCGGCTTCCTTTTCAATTTTCAAGAAACTCCTGAAGACCCTGCTCTTCAGAGAGCATCTTCTAAACTAGCTCCTTGCCTGCACCCGTCCCCCCTCTCTA